AAAAAAAAAAAAAAAAAAAAATCAAAACTTAACACTACTTCAATTAGAATATAATTCTTCCTGAAAGACTATGGCAGAGCCGGATGTGGTGGGGATGGCAGCTCTGAGGCTGAAGGACTGCCTCAAATTCAAGGTCAGCCTGGGTTACACCGTAAGTTCAAGGCCAGCCTCAACTACATAGTGAGACCCTGTCTCAAAAAACAAGCAAAGGACTACGGCTACTTGAAGATTCCCTTTCTTCACACCGTAACAACTGTACTTAAAAAAAAAGCATACAGTATTACATTTTACATGTGGCACATGAAGAGAGTCTAGAATATTCTGTTGTGCATATACATGAATATTTTGTAAAATTTGTGCTTTTATAAAGGAAACTAGTTTGTAAATATTTTGATGCAAAGCTTCACAGAATTAATCTCATTCATATTCTAGAGTATAGCCTTACCAATAGCTTTTGGAGCTGGTCGTCCAGATTTCCAGACTCCTGACTGAACTGGTCCCGTTCTGTGCGTGCTTCAGTGAGCTCTGAGTTGGCCAGGACTAACTGCTTCTCTAGCTCTTCTATCTAAAAAAGGCACAAGTCGAAAAGAGTCTATGTTAGTGGATCACAAAAAACAAATGATTTTGAGAAATGGTACTATGTGGAGGGCAAAATAAAAGTTTATTGTGCTATATTTTACAAAGTGTTCTAAACTTAAGATCTATGCATTATTGCGCCAGGGATTTAGTTCAGTGGCACTGCACCTGCCTCACAAGTGCAAGGTCCTGAGTTTGATCCTGGCTCCAGGAAAAAAAAAGATCTATGCCGTATTTAGCCAGGGAAATTAGCCAAAACAAAATATTTGGTACCACTGGATTTGAGCATTGTCTGTAACATATCTCTGTCATGTTTATACTATTCAACATTTATCTTCAAGATATGTTCTGTAATTTGGTCTTTTTTAACCATATAAAAATCATTAACTTTAAAAATCATGTTTACATATAACAATTACAGATAAATCCAGAATGACTCAGAAAATTACAAATTATATGTTTGCAGTCCACTTAACTTTGCAGATCAAGTATATCCATGTGTTGGGTACTCAGGTCAAAGATGAGAACATGTAATTTGGTCTTTAAGAAAGCTACTGTGGCATAAATAATACACTGCTGAGCCCACACTGGATTATATTAGAAGAGCCATTTTGTTTTAGAAATATCAGAGGTTCAAGAATAAGCCATTGTATATAAAAGAATAACAGCTACGTTAGCCACTATATTTTGATATGTGGTTGTACATGTTATAGTTGGACAATTGTATTTAATCACTGTAATCCTTATTTTCATTAAGTATAAAAATGAAAAAATGGAAATAAAGTATTTGTAAATAGGGAAGTTTGGAGGGGGTGAAGGAAGGATAGGGGTAAGGAGAAAAAATGAGATCCAAGACCTGTCATGTAAGGGTACAAGATCCCAATGATGAATGTAACTGTACTGTGTATCGAAATGTACCAATAAACTCAATGAGAAAAAAATGGGAATAAGAGTACCAATGTTAAAGTACTGTTATAAGCATATTTTTCTCTCACTGACAAGGCAGCTGTTTGTGATTGTTTGAATGGAGAGGGAACTCTCTTCTACTATACCATGGCTACTGTATGAACAGACGCAGAACATTTCCTTTCCTAAGTTCCTAGGCAGCTGTACCACTAGCGGAGGACAGAGGCTGCTTCACTGCTAATGGGGTCCCCATAGCCCACCATCTCCCAGTACAGCACCATGTGAGTTGAGATCTCAGGTTCAGAAGACTCTAGGTTTGGATTTTAGCTGAGCCGCAGAACATCATAACAGGTAACAAAATATTAAAATAAGAACATGTTGGTACTCAGTTAAAAAGTCATACCTGATGTTTAACTGTGATACCTATAATACTATTCTATCATCTACTTTTCAGGAATTCCAGGAATAAGGAGTCTTATAGGGCGTGGATTTAGCTCAGTGGTTCCACCACCTGCCTCACAAGCGCAAGGACCCAATTTTTTTTTTTAGGACCCAAGCTTGATCCCTGGTACCACCTCCAAAAGAAGTCTTTTATATCTGCACAAATGCTACATATTCTTTCTTTTTTCTAAGGCTTCTATTCAGTACATTCCCAAATCTTCCATGTCAAAAATAAAGTTTAGTCTAGAAATGTACTGTGATAAAACTTTTTTAACCAGAGAACATACAACCAAAACAAACTTTTTCTTGATATTTTCTAGTTTATTTTTACTTGGAATGGGTTCATTTAAAATCTTCATTAATGCAAATATAATTAATCATACTACATATACATACACATATGCAACTATCTCTGATAAATGCTACACATGAATACATGAAATTATATATCTATGTATTTACACATACACATGTGACTTAAGTACTAATATAGAATTATCAAACAGTTTCACATTTACCTGTAGCATAGTATCCCAGCCTGCACCGTTCAGGATATAGATTTTAATATTTTACATTGGTTGTATTTTTAAACTGACTGTATTTGACTGTATATTATCTATTAAAAGTATTTCACAAGGATTAATAATGCATAAAATACTGCATTACTAATTAAAATATGTTCCTAGACTCTAATAATCCCATAGAAAAGTACATCAGGGCTGGGGAAGTAGCTCAGAAACAGAGTTGCTGCTTAGCATGAACAAGGCCCTGGGTTTAATTATCTGTACCACACACAAAAAACAAAACAAAACAAAAAACTTTCATTCTTGTTCTCCGTTTGGGACACACAGAAAAACAAACAACGCACCTCATTTATAAATTTAACCACTATTAGCTTAAGTAATTTTCTAAATCTCTTTTTTTTTTTTTTTTTTTTTTTTTTTTTTTTATTGTGTTTGCTAGGCAGGCAGTGGCAACACTGAGCTAAATCCCTGGCTTGTTCATTCATCTTGCTCAGAAAATTACTTAAGGGCCTGGGATTTATCTCAGTGGTTCTGTCATCTGCTTTGCAAGCTCAAGGTCCCGAGTTCTATCCTGGTACCAAAAAAGGATGAATGAACAGTATCAGAGGACATAGTCTCTGGTTCTGTCATTATCAGGAACTAAGACAGCACACACTTAATCAACCATCAAGAACAGCTAGGAGAAGAAACACAGACTTCTGTTTCGCAGTGGCTGTGTGTGCCAGGCCAGGAGTGGGTAAGTAGGGGAGTGGTGATCTGAGCAGCGCAGATCAAGCTAACAGTCAAATGCCTCAGGTTCTGGTCTAGGTTCTGTCACATAACCTTGCAGCCTCAATTTTTTTGTGCGTGTGCATGATTCAAAAAGAATATTCTAGATAATCTCTGTTGTTTTTTTACTGTTTCTAATACTGTTGTACACAGAAGCAGTATCAATACAGCTGAAATTTTGTATTCCCCATCTGTCATATGAGCTATTAATTTTTAAGAACTTAAGTTAATCAGATGACTAAAGCATTTTCTCCTCTCAGCTTGAACAGAATTATCCTCTCAAGAATAGAACACTTTCTATTCTTGAGCAAATAAATTATTTGTATTTTTGTTGTAAAAACTTAACATTTGCATTTTTAAGATTTTTACTTTTTAAAAACTCTGGATTGACCATAACATCAAACTTGATGGTAAAATCTAGAAGACCAAAATAAAAGGGAAAAAAATGAAAAAAAAGAAAAGTGAGCAAGTTAATGAAGTCTTATCTTTCCATCTGCTCATTAAGTATTGCAGGCCCTCCAGACCCCTGCAGAAACACAGGTTTGGTTGTCAGTACTGACTCAGCTGCTATAGCTCTGCTTTTACCTTTCACTTTTTTGAGTAAAAATAGTTATGTGAATTAATTAAAAGATGGAGAGTGAAAGGGAAAACCACTGAAGTAGCAGCTGAGCTGATATAAACAGCTGTGGAAAAAAACTACAAAGAAGCCTTTTAAAATGTCCAGAAAAAACTGACAGCTGAGATATGGTAAAACTTTTTTCTTTTTCTTTTCTTTTGAGGTAATAGCACTGGTTTTCCCTTTCACCATCTTTGAATCTATATTTTGGTTTGAATCACTGGACAAATTAGTACTGGATTCTCATTCCAATGTCACATTGATTTTAGGGATATTACCAATCCTATCAAATCACTTAAGATTCTGTTTTGGGGGAGTTTTTTGATGGTGTCATGTTGGTGGGTGTATTTTGTTTTCACTTTTTCTGTGCTCAGAAAGACACAGCCACGGCCCAGGAAGGGCTGCTGCAGGCCAGCATGAAGGCGCATCGGCACAGCTATGCCAAGTGTCTGTTCAGCCTCTCCCACATGGGGACTAGCTCCAGCCAGCGCCAGGAAATATTCACCTTCAGAGTATGAAATTCAGCCCCAAATACTTTCAAAGTAGGAAAATAAGCTTAGAATTAAGATCATAAAGTGGTTTTGTTGTCAAAAGCGAAAGTTAAGAGTAAAGCCAAGTCTACAGAGCCAATAGTGACAGCTTCTACTGGTCCAAATTCGAAAAGGGGAATTCTGGGAGGTTCTCCTAAAATGGAAAGAGAAGAACAGAAAGTAGTATTACAGTAAAACATTTTGGTCAGCTACAAAAACTACATCTAAAATGTTCTCTAAACAATTTCTATTTTCACCAATATGGAAATATTTTTGTTAATCTGAAGAGAAATGTCCTCCTAAATGAGTTTTAATTCATTCATTTTACTTGGGATAGTTTTGTTCAGACCTGTCACATCACCAATATTTTGAAATAGTAAACACTTTATTTTTACAAAAAACATTTTTTTTAAATTTATTTATTAATTTTATTGAGTTTATTGGTACATTTTAGGGATACAGTACAGTTACATTCATTGTTGGGATCATGTACCTCTACATGGCAAGTCTTGATTCTCATTTTTTCCCCTTACCTCTGCCCTCCCTTCACCCCCTCCTCCCCTCCCCATCTGCAAACACTTTATTTTCATCTTTTCATTCTCTCACATTTTTTTCTTTTCCCTTTTTGTTCTTCCCCTACCCATCACACCTTCCCTGCACATTTAGCTCCTTTCTTCCCATGTCTAAATGTCAGTAATCTTATTAGAATCTTATGCATTGTTGCAGATTATTCACACCAGGGAAACTATTCGGTATTTACACATGTGTGACTTATTTATTTCACTTAGGAGTAAATCTTCAATATGTATCCATTTTCCTATGAGTGAATCTATTTTCTCGTTCTTTATGGCTGAGTAATATTCCATTTTATAGAAAAACCACAACTTCTTACAAAAAACATTTTTGAGGGATGCTGGCATCAACCAATGCATTCTACCACTGAGCTGTTCCGCAGCCCAACACTATTTAAATGTAGGAATCTGATCTCAGGAAAAACACTTAATACTGTCTCTGATAAAATACACTGAGGTTTAACATCAACACATCCTTTAAGTTTCTTTTCACACAAATCTCTTTTTTGTTTTGTTTTGTTTTTTCAGACAGGATCTCATATTCAATTCAGACTGGCTGAACTCACTATGTAGCCAATGCTGGTCTTGAACTTGAAGTTGTCTTCCTGCTTCAGGCTCCGGCATGCTGGTGTTACAGGCATGTGACACCATGCCCAACACAAATCTCATTTTTAATCACAGTTTATATATTTTTTAATATCATTTTTATTTGTTATCGGGATAGTACATAATAAAATGTGCACCGAAGCAGCAGAAAATAGAGTTTTAAGGTTTTAATCATGTAAAGTCAAAGGTATATAAAAATTAAAGAAAGTAGAGCAGGGGATTTAGCTCAGTGGTTCTGGCGCCTGCCTCACAAGTGCAAGGACCTGAGTTTGATCCCCATTACCAAAAAAAAAAAAAAAGAAAGTAAGCAGAAGAACTTGTTTTTTACATGCTGTATTCATTGTAAAAAAAATTCATAACAATAGAATTTTTTGTGACCCCCTCACTCCCAAACAAACTTCTATTAAGTTGTTGATTTTCCTTGTTTGGTTACACACTATATATATAGATAGATAGATCTTATATATCTCTTATTTCATATATATATATATATATATACACACACACTCATGTATATTTATCTTATATATATTATATCTCATTTCATATATATATTTATCTTATATATTTATCGTATATACCTTATATATCTCTTATTTCACATATATATGGTATATATTTATCTTATATATATCATATATATATATAATCTTATTGAATATATTGGTACTTTTTAAGTATACAGTACAGTTGGGATCTTGTACCCTTACCTGTTATTGCTGAGCTCTATATTAACATGGCAGACAATCATCTTTCAGGGTTCCCAGAACACACCTCTTAGCATTTAGCTAAACTGAAAGGAGTTACTATCAGGAGCCTACTTAACCATCAACTAGGTGCCAGCTCTGTTTGTCAGGTCCACCATGCTCTATTATCAACAGCTCAGAGGTCTATGTTAAAACTAACTTGATGTGCCATCCTTACTCCTAACTGCTTACTCTGGAAGACTCTCAATGTGAGAGCAGAATAAATGGTTCTGATATCATGCTTGTATCTATATGATCCCCGAACATTAATATGAAAAGTTTACAGTCATTCCTCTGATGCTTCTAGAATGCTGAAGAGACAGACAAACATTTACAAAAGCCCAGGAACTGTTTTTGTGTTAGTTAGATGGATATTTTCTTATTTGTTACAATTTCCACTATGCCTTCACTCAGAGTTGAGGAACATGATACTACATATCAGCACAAATGAAAATTAGAAAACAATGGGTGAGTCTCAAGAAGGACTAACTTTTCCAAGACACCCTATAATGCAAAGCTACAGAAATGACAAATTGTGTAAGAAAATACAGGTAGGTTGAGCTTTTTTAAGTGGTGGCTTTTTAAAGTGTTTGATCTGTCAGCAAATAAAGAATATCTTTTCAAAATGGTTTGAGCAGTTTTTGATGCATATGAGTTATTGCTGTAACACCCCTCTCCTACTTCCTCTCTGGAGTAATATAGCATCCTCTGAGCCCGTGAGCCATTGTCATCATGAGCACCCTTCTGCTGGGGTTATGGGCATAGGATCTGTGTGGGCTTGGTCTCCCAAGAATGGGGTGGGCATGACTGCTATCCATCTTTGGGGGGAAAAGCTTGCCCTGAGAAAAGACAGTGGAACACAGTGTAGACCTCAGAGGGGGAGGAAAGAACAAAAGTTCTTCCCTAGGCTATTGTTTCTTGTGTCCAGTCCTCGAGCAGTGTAAAGTGTAGGAGGCTGAGGTTAAGAAGGATTCAGGTGGAGAATGATGTTATTCCCTGCAATGCACCAGTGAATTATGAGGTCAAGTGAAAGAGTGTCAAGCCAGCATCTGACAAAAACAGAAACAGCCCACATAACATGGAACAGCAAATCACCGCTCTGTGATGCTTGCTTCAGTTGTATGTATACTGCATCATAAATTGAACTGCATTTCTTACTGTGAGGAGTGACCAAGAATCTGTAAAGACCCGATCTGTTGCTGAGATTATACTGTATGATTTCATGTTACTCTTCCTTGCTCAGGCTTTAGTAAAACTATGCCTAACTTTTCCCTCCTTAGCTTGCCACAGCGGGGAAAGGCTTAGGTCTAATTTCCATGCCTGACCTGAGCCCAAGTAGGACAGTGTGGAGATGAAGGATAATGTTCACAGAACAGGACCCTGGACTGCAGGCATAAACTGGGACAGCCCCAGACAAACATCACTTGTGATCACTCTTCCCACAGGGAATGTGGAACATGAGCTCCTCTCAACGGCAGCTCTTTGCTGGTTTGTAAGGATCTTCACTTTATTTTATTTATTTATTTATTTTTTTGGTACCGGGGATCGAACTCGGCCCCTTGCACTTGTGAAGCAGGTGGAGGAACCACATTCACTGTTTTACAAATAGTTGAAATTAATAAAATCCTACACCCCAGATAAATGATTGATAATCTATTGGAAAGCTTTTTTAAAGCTATGAAAAACAAAACAAGAGAAACATAATATAAAATAATAGCTAATATCTGGTTTTAAGAGGAATTATGATGAGAAAAGAAGACTTATTTCCCTATTTTTATTTGTAACTAGTTTCATCTTAAAAGTTAATTTGCTAGCTAGGGCTGGGAATTTAGCTGAGTAATGCTGCCACATGTCTTACAAGCGCAAGGTCCTGAGTTCGATCTCTGGTACCAAAAAAAAAAAATTAATACGCTAGCCATACAATGATAAAGATTGAAGAGAAGAGGTAGGTCCCTAAAAATATTGAGCAGTATGGATAGGCCATTTGGTACAAAAATATTTGCTAAAGCTAAGGGCATAGCCAGATAATTTATGATAATCTTCCCCATTTCACGATCACTGGCTCAATCCATCGTGCAATCCTTTTCCCACACTACATTTACAGATTTCAGGAATTAAGACCTGCATTTCTGGTACCATTATTCAGCCTACTAGACCATATAATCTGGAGGCGTTGACTTTGGACACAGGTGGATCATAAAGGGCCAATTTAATTAATGGTGGAGCTTTAATGTGGGTCCCCCTAACATACTAAACAGAGTCCCCACTGTGAAAACACAACAGCAAACGTTTTGCATACGTGTCAAGCTGTTGTCAACTGGAGTCCCCAGTCTGTTCTGGGAATGTCATGTCTATGATGAAACCATTTTGTCCATAACACAAATAAATAGATAACTGTGTTAAAGTTAAAATCAGTAAACGCTGTACAGAGACTAGACTTCTCCCGCCACTTTCCCACTCCCACAGTGGACCCTACACCACAGGCAGTACCTGTCTGGTCTCTGGTCTGTGTGGGAGCGCATCTGCTGCCAAGAGAAGCAGCAGCCCAAACTCCTGGGAAATAGCCCACCTCACTTCTCCCCACCTCTCGAGTACAGCTTGCTGCACGAACAAAATCTCGTACCTGGAGGAGGGTTTTCTGGGAAAAGTCGGAGACTTCAGGCTCCTCCCCCGACCCCCACATTGGGGATTCGGTATGTACAGGCAAGGGCTTTACAACTGAGCTACACCCACCCCAGGCCCAAGAACTCGCGTTTTAATTAATACTGTGAAGAAGAGAGAGCGGAATTCTAAAGTCGATTACAGTGAGGGCTCAAGGCAAAAGAGCTCGGACCGGCAATACGTTTAAAACAGCCTTGGCACGTCTGTATTCCCAGCACTCTGGGAGGCTGAGGACCAACGGCTTCCCCGCGCCCCGAGCCCGCCGCGCCGCCTCGCGGAGCTCGCAC